TCCCGCACCGTGATAAAAAATACATATTTTAAATAAAAAGAGGTATTGAATTTTTTTATTTTTTTATTTTTTTATTAAGTTCTAAAATGTTCAATCCATTTGCTTTTTTTTTAGTCCTAAAATGTTCAATCCATTTGCTTTTTTTAGTCCTAAAAACCATTACTATCACATTTTTATCAAAATTCCCCATGTAAATTTTGCATTTCTCATATACTTTTACTCTTTCTGTTTTGTATGAATTGGAACATTTTCTTTTTACACCCGTTTCATCTTTCATATTAATTACAACATTTTTATATTTGAAAAGAACCCACCATTATTTTATAATTTCTCTCTCCCATTAATCCTATTTTTACAAATATTTTATTATTTATCTTTCTTAGAGCAACTCCAACAGTGTAAAATTAGGACTAGCTTGCAATTTATGAAACTAATAAATAATTAGCTTAACCATTGGAATTGCATTACCAAATTAGCTAGGTAAAGCTATTTGCTTAGCTAAGCTAATTAGCTTAGCAAATTGTGGGAATTAAAAAAAATTAATTAAATAAAAAAATTATTGAAAATTTGCTTAACCATTGTGGGATTAATTAGCTACAAGGTAGATTAGCTTTGCAATCCTAGGTGGCATGGCAAGTTAATTTCACAATTAGCTTACCATTGGAGTTGCTCTTACCAACCGCACTTACACTACTTTTATTTTATTTTATTATTATTTCTATTTCCTACTTACAATAATCTTAAATATACTAAAATAACAACCGCTGACATCATCACTTATTAAAATTATACACATGTCAAGCTGTTGTTAAAATTTTCCCCGCCTAAATCAATTGCTGACATCATTTTTTTTACCTTAAATTATTACAATATTTTTTGTGAAGACAATTATTATTATTATTATTATTATTATTATTATTATTATTATTATTATCTGACTTCAAAATATAATTACTATCGGTTAAATAGTACACATAATACATAATTTGCTTAAGTTTATATTGTTCTTCAAAATTAATAAGATCTAAATATCATTACAAATGGCAAGTAATAATTATGTTTTTATAATTTATTTCATATTAGAGACATATATATTTATTTCAATATATTTTTTTACGTCGTGCTTCAAAATTAATAAGATCTAAATATCATTGCGCACGGGACTTATATAGTTTATATTATAAAAAATCCTATAAATTTTCTTAAATTTTGTGAACACCATGGATGGAGCATTACTTTATCTCTATATTTTTTTGCATATCCCGTGTAAATTTACCTTTTTAATGTATTTTTATTATTCTTATTTAAGTTTCTTAATTCCCATTAAATTTTACCAAAATTATATAAACTATATTAAGAGATGGAGGGAGTATTCTTTCTTTTTCTTTTTCTTTTTTTTTTTTTTGGATCATCCATGAATTTTAAGAGGTTATGATAGATTTATATTATGAGGTGATGGCTCTTATGATTTGTCAGTTTTAGCAATAAAGTGATGTGTCAATTGGTTCAGCTTCTTTTTTTTAAAAAAAAAAATTGAAGTTTCTTCATTTTTCATGGTGAGATACTTTGGCCTTGTTTGGTTGATAACATAAAATAAGAGAAGTGGAAATTCATGGGATTTGATAAATTGAGGAGTTGTTTGGTTGACACAAAAAAACTAACATAGGGGAAGTGGAACTTTATAGGAATTTCAACTTCCCACAAAACAAGGGAAGTAAATTACATATCCCTTCCTAGGTCAATTAAAATTCATGGAATTTCTTAATTCTTATATTATTAACCAAACAAATTTAGGAAATTTCTAAGAGTTTCATGAGAGAAATAATTTCCCATAAAATACAATTTTCTATGAAAAATTAATTCTCATGTCAACCAAACAAGGCCTATATATTATTCAACAATTTGTTATAAATTTGATGTTATTCCACCCAAAAATAAGACAATTTTGTACAGGACGACAATAACAAATAACCTACTACCTTGCTCAAAATGAGGAGAGAATCTTACCCACATATATATATATATATATATATATATATATATATATATATATATATATAATTATTTATTTATTTATATTATCTATGATTAATTTGGAAATTATTAAGCTCGACTTTTTAACATTTGTGCCCGCTTTCTTATTCTTATTCTCATAATCTCATGGGATAGTATCAAGTATCAACAATATGTCAATATCCGAATCATTGAAATTGAGTCCGAAAAATCAAACCAGAAATAAGGTAATTGAACCAAAATTTAGAGAAATGAACAAAACTAATCTTTTATACAGTTTATCATATCTTTCGAGTTTAATTCAAAACTTACGATAATAATTTAAGGCGACAAAGATTAATTTGGTATGCAAATTTCTTGAAAATTTATATTCCTCTGTAAGTACTGGAAATGCAAATTCCTTTATGTTAAAGGACCAAATCAACCGTCTTTTAGAAAAAAAGGATCAAATCAATCAAAAGCTTAAATTGATGGTTGAGGTCAAGGAATATGTTTTATACTCTATCACCCGTCTTCACATGAAAGGTCCTTTGGGTTTGAAATGTGGATGTAACACAAGCACTCCCATACCCGGCGCAAATTAATTCCAATTTGAAAGATGGATGGATGAGATTCAAACCCATGACCTTTATGTCACCTTGCTTTGATACCATGATAAATTTCGAGAGAATATGAAATGGGCATGGGTAACCCGAACAAGGAGGAGGAGAGTTTGGTCCACAAACTAGGCTTAAGAGCTTCCATACTAAAACCAATTGGCAATAGCAGGAGTTACTCCTCTACCTTATAAAGTGAAACCACATCTTCTCTTTCTGCAATGTGGGACACTCACAAGTGGGCTACAATGGGTTTCAACACCCCCCCTTCACTTGTGAGTATCCTTAGAATTAGAGCACACCAGAAGGTACAATATAAATCCTCTTTGGAATGAACATCCAATAGAGGCCCTTTAATCAGTGGTTTGACAAATACCCAGTTATGAACGGCCCAACAAACTTGGGCTTTGATACCATGATAAATGACCAACTCGACCAAAAGGTTAAGCTGATGGTTGAGGCACGGGAATATGTTTTATACTCTATCACTTTGAAGTTTAATGAGAAGTTCCAGTTACCAAGGTCTCTCTAGGTAATTAAATTTCCCCATTTTGTAGGAAGTGAAATGAATTTGTCAAAAAAAAAAAAACCTTAAGAATTGCAATTTCAATCCTTTTTTTTTTTTTTTTTTTTTGTCAACCAAACAACATCCAAAATAAATTACCAGGGTTTTAAATATAATGAAGAGTTTCCAAGTAAATTTAACATTACGTATTATAGCTAACTAAAATCATGTCGATGAAGAGTTTTCTAAAGTAACTAAACATTCACTACAAAAAAAATGAGAATAGACAACACTTAAGATTGCAACACTTACAGAAATGTTACTCTTAATAATCTAACGCAACAATATTTATTTGTTACCTTGAACTAAAGTAACGGAAAAAAAAGTGTTACTCTAGACTATATAAGGCAAAAGTTGCTTAAAGTGTTACCTTTTTCTTGTCTAAGACAACAAATATAATAATTGTTACATGAAAAGATAACAATAACAAAACTATTGTTTGAAAATGTAATATTAATATCTATGTTGCCATCTATAGCAACATTTATATATGTGTGTGTGTGTATATATATATATATATAGCAAGTTTGGTAGAGCCGGTGGGAAACTCAAAAGTCACAAGTTCGAGCCCTACCAACTACTAAATGTTTGGGAGTGACAACATTTAGAAACATTTTTTAATTATCTCCTTAGATGGCAACATTTTTCATTTGTTGTTTTTGTAAAAGTGTTGCCTTATGTATCATTTTACCTTGGCTTTCAAAATTGTTGCCTTTGAATAAAAATGTGTTGCCTTATGAATAGACAACGGGGGCATAAATTACGCCTCATATGTGTTGCCTTAGCTACAAGGCAACACTTTTTTATATTAGGCAATGGTTTTCCATTGTTACCTTTGCTTTATTTTGTTGTAGTGATTATTACAATTCAATTTGGTAAGAAAAAAAATGATGCACATAAGATGACACATGTCGTAATTGTGACACACTACTGACACCACATCATAAAGAAGGGTAGCACATGTCATTAATATGTTGGCTCTATATATTGTACGGAATATTCTTATTTTATCTATGGAACTCTCTCTATTCCTAAATAATTAAGATTTGAATACACAATTTGCATCATTACTATCTACAATTTTTTTGATTGAGAAAGATCACTACTACAATATTTACAATTGTATACAGTTAAAAAAAATAAAAAGCCAATGTAAATACTTCCTCCGTTAAATGTTGTGCAACTTTGGGATATTATTTGTGAGATATAAAATATTCCAAAGTTGTACATAACATTTAACAGAGGCAGTAACAAGTCAAAATTAGCATTCTTAACGTTTTCTTCATACTCGTCCTTTTCGAATGGAACGTGATGCTAGCATTCAAAATATTCCAAACTTTGGGATACTAGCATTCTTAACGTTTTCTTCATACTCGTCCTTTTCGAATGGAACGTGATGCTTCAACTACCCTCACGGGTCATGCACTAATGCTCATGCATCTCATCACTCATGTCATGGGCGTTGGGGTGAACGAATTTTATGATATCATCGATGGTTTTTTCTACCGTCGAAAAATAGATGTTTTCTTAAGCTGTGAAAATAGAGTATTACTCCCCCATCCATCCGTGTTTTAATAAGTGTTATACTTTAACCAAACACGCATGTTGAGACACATTTTTAACCATCAATTTATCTAATTATATATTAGAAAAATCATATGAAATTTTATAATATGAAAGTGTACATAATAACGAATCCAATAATGTCTTATTCAACAACATTTGTTTTTATTTATTTTTTATATATTAGTAAAATAATCAAGTCAAAGTCATTATGTGAATAATAAAAAAAAATCAAATTGTAACACTTATTAAAATACGGAGAGAGTAATAAGTGTATTAATCAAACTGATATACTATCTTGTTTTTTAACAAGTGCTTTATTTTGACTGATAATATTTTTTAATTAGCAACTATAGAAATTAGGAAAAAAAAAATATTTAGAAACTTTAAAGTCAGACGAATCTTACAATTACAAACATGACCTTATTGGTTTAGAACAAAGGGATACCTAACAGCATAAACCCTCTTTATTTTCAAATAAAAAAAAAAAAACATAAACCCTCTTAATTTAATTTGTGCTCATCACCCAGTGATCGATGCACTTATTTAATAATGGAGGGGGATTTCTTATCTTACTATCTTAGACCAAACATTTAGATCTTAGGTACCAAATTAATTCATAATCTTCTCCAAATCCATAATAAAGTTATCAATGTAACCCTTCATAAATCCTTGGCTAGCCATAATTTGTCTCCACTTAGCATGATTATTTTTAATTACACACCCCACTTCACTCTTCTCATCCATCACTAACTTAATAGCATTACACAAACTTTCCTTAGACACCCACCCATTCTCTGCCTTCTCCACCTCCACAGCCACCTTCAGCTCCCCTGCCATCAACCTTGTGTTCAATATTTGGTCACCCAATTGCGGCACCAACACTATCTGACTCGCCGCCATCAAACTCTCCCACATGGAACCGAACCCACAATGGTTCACAAAGCACCCTACTGAAGGGTGTGCTAGTATTTGAGGCTGTTGCACCCACCCACCATGCACCACACCCCTATCTCCTACTCTTTCCTTGAACCCCTCGGGGAGCGCCTCCTCGATGGTGCCGCACCCCTTGGGTGGCTTCAAGGCCACTAAGAAGGGTAGTTTTGTCATTTCAAACCCTAGGAGTAGCTCCTGGAACTGATCCCTTTCAAGGATGAACTGACTCCCAAAGGCACAGAACACAACCGAGCCCGGCCCGAACCCGCACAACCAGTCGGCCCATTGGGCTTCAAGTGGGTTGTTACTATTGTCATTTTCAGGAAGTACCGGGCCGGTGAGGATCACGGGCTTGTTGTATTGGGCCGACACGTAATCACAAAAGTTGCCTTCAATCTCACGGCAGGTTCTAATGGCAATGGCGTCACATGATTTCAATGCAGTTGTAATTCGTTCGTAAAAGGTGAAACCGCTTCCATAATCCTCCCCTAAGAAGAGCAAGCTATGGGCCTCAGGCCCGTGCAAGACAACATTAGAGGAGGGGTAGCCCGGAGGAGGCCGGGCTACGTCCTCCTCAGTAAGAGGTCGATCCCGGGCCAGGTTACGGGCCGGGACCAAAGCGATCGCGAGGGATGCAGCGCAAACCACATTATAATTAACGGACTTAATCCCGAGCTTAGCGGCGATCTCAGATGCCCAATGGGCGATATCGTAAAAAAAGAGGTGGGGTTTGGGGCTAAGGCCTATGATCACGCTCTCGACCTCAGGACGAGTGAGGTCAAGAGCGGTGGCAAGATGGCCGGTAAGATTAAGGTGGATGTCGGAGGCGGTTTCGGCCCCGAAAGGAAGAGGGTGGACGTGAGGGACCGTGATAGGGTGAAGGGTGATAAGATTTGGGTAAAGCACCAAATGTTGTAACTGAATCTTGGCTTTGTTGGGTAAAAAGAATGTGATTTTGTGGCCTCTGTCGGCAAGTTTGTTAGCAAGGTGAAGAAAAGGAGTCATATGACCCACGGCAAACCATGGAAACATCACAATGTGGAGTTGTTTAACCATTTTTTTTTTTTTATTTATTTTTTTTTTCTAAAATCTCTTGCAATTATGTTTATACGGGAAAAAAAGGAGTACAAAAAAGGGAGATACCTTCGACTCTATTTATGGAGTGTAAGGTGGAGGGAGGTTTATCCTTTTTCACTCACATTAATCGGTAAATGGTTGGAAATAAATTTAATGTTCAACTAGCATAGTGCCCGTGCGATGCACGAATTATAAATCAAATTATTAAACCCGTAGGAAAAATAAAAACAAAGGTAATTCATTTACTATTAAAGGACTTGTATTAATGGTCAATAAAAAAAATTAAAGGAACGTTATTTGAATAGTATTTTATGTTATTTAAATTTCTTTTAATTTTTTATAATATGTTTTATTAATTGAAAAATAATTGAATAATACTCCACATAGCTATATAAGTGTGGACTAATTTATTTATATCTCCCGTTGAGAAAAAACTAAAATTTTCTTATTATACCATCCGCATCAGTAGCTACAATCAATCTAATATATACATGTTTTATTTACCCGTCGCACTCATTAAATCTATAGACACAATAATAACCTTATATTTGACCTATCAGAACATATATTTTCCTAAGTTAAGCATTGTGCCAAAAACTATATATTATATAATAGTCATATATATAACCAACAGCTGATTAAATATAGTATACGACACAAATACTTCGTATATAGGTATGGATACTGATAATTTTATATAAATAAAATATACGGAGTATATATTACTAAGATTTATCCCTACCTTAATTATAAAAAGGTTAACAAAACTCTTATAATAGTGCATGGACATTTATATATCTAAAATGTTCTTTTTACATATATTTTCCCCCATTTAATTTTAAATGCCTTAAAATTGTCTCTTGAATTCGCTAAATTGATTTAAAAGGTTATGTTTATTTCAATATTTAAAGCCATTTACTATTTTCATTTCCTTTTGTTTTAATTTTTCTATTTAGAATTTATTAGACTATTAGGTTTCAAGATCGAAGTCAATATTTTTTTACCGCACAATCACTAAATCAAAGTCGCTCAACTAAAGTTTTGGACATTGCATAGCTACACAACATCCAACACATTTAATGATTACATGCAAATAATTTTAATAAAACTACGCATTCGATATAAGTTATTAAACAATTTAACTATATATACATTTTGATAGGTTTATATCTTTCATATTAACAAAAATTTACAAATGTTATTATCATATTGTAGGGAATAGTTTCAAGCCTTAAAATCCCACTAGCTTGAACCCCACTGTGATCATACACTAAAGTACGGTGGCGTCCAAAAGGGAATAAGATAGAGCAAAAGAGTCGCCAACAAGTTTTTAAGGAACTTGTAAACCGTTCACGAGGTGAAGGTTACACCCCTTAACGATCCAAGAGATCGTCAACTCCATAAGGTCATGAACCAAATAAGGGTTCGGGGATGAAGGTGCAAATCCAACCTAAAAGAGATTGAACCTGCCCTAATAATAGGCCTCTACTTTATTTTGCTCGTATTCATGTGCGCTTTCTGATTAACATACAATCAATATATCAACCCTAAACCTGTTTAATCTATGTTGGTTGAATATAAATGCACAAATAAACTATTATTGGCGATCACTTGAATTATAATCACAATTAACCTAAAAAGATTATTAAATTATCTTATCAAGCGTGATTGCAAATACCAATTCCCTTTAACCTGTAATAAAAGGTGATCAAGCAATAACAATATAAAATAATATGCATATCAAGCAACACAATAAATAATAATCAATTAATCATAATAAATATAAATATTAGGAAGAACATAGGAAGCATCGTACTTTTAAGCATACTTAATATTAAAGATACCCTAGACATGATACTAGGAATCATCAAAATAACAATCTAAGCATGATTTCTACATCATGAAATCAATTAAACCATTAAAGTACTTACTTTGATGCCTCGTACCTCTTTCTAATTACAAAATACACGCGTTAGTAACTTCAAGGAAAATAATAATCAAAACAATTAAATTAAATAACTGAAATAGAGATTTGGGACCAAACCCTCAGAAATTAAAACCTTTCACGTCTAGGGCGAAGGCAACTTCGAATATGGCTAGGTGTTTCTAGATCTTGTGAATGCGGAATTTTGTATGAAAAAGTAAAGTTTAGAAAAAAATGCTAAAAGATTAATGTTATTGAAAATTGATGAATGAATGATAAAGATGAAGAGAAGAGAGTTGATGAATGAAAAGAATTGATTATTGGTAATTCATAAAGTGATTGTTGATGATAGATGATTGTAGATGATTAATGAAACGGAGTTTTTGATACGATATTTATAGAGAAAATCATCCAAAAAAGATAATTTATCAAACCAGAGTCTGAAAACCACAAAACTAACTTGGCGCCAGCCCTGGCTCATTGGCGCCAGGACCAGTGGCTAGAGCCAGGCGCCAATGGCTGGCGTCTGGCGCCAATCCTGATTCCAGGCGCCAAGGCTTGGGGTTGGACGCCAATTTGGATTTCAACGTGTTTTCGAAAATCTGATAAATTTCCTGTACTGGAAGATAAAATAATATAATTTCAGTCGAAAATGCTATTTGATCTAATTAAAACTCTGAAGAATCCTAATTGAATTAAGAATGATAAGACCTTCTAGAATGTTCTAGAAGACCAAAACCTTTCCTAATTACATTAGGAATGATAAATCATATTAGGCCCTCCCCTAGATCATTGGGCCGTACTTAAAGCTCAAACTGGGCCCAGTTTAGTAAATTGGCCATAAATTCCTCAATATTCATCGGAATTGGGCTTATAATATATCGTTAGAAAGGTCTTTGCAAGCCCCATACAACTACATCACTATTGGACCCATATCATGGACCAACCAAACTATATTGGCTGTTTTCTTAAAATAAAGTTTTCAAAAATAGAGAGAAGAGAAAAGAAAAGAAATAAAACTTTCCGCAACACTAGACCTTTCCACACTTTCGTTTCATTTGATTATGATTCAACGTGAAAGACACTCATCACTGGGTTTGGTTTTGGGGAGACACAAATGGGTGTCTACAGAAGCCCCCACTTTGACTGAGTTTGGATAAACGCAAGTTTCGAAAACGAAAGTCAAAGTATCGATAGGGACGGAGAATGATTCAGAACGTTCTGCGATCCTAAATCAATCTTATAACGCCGATACCTGCAAAACTAGCATTAGTTAAACAGATAGAAGAGTTAAGAAACACGTATCTTGCACCGTCGAGCACACGTCTCTGAAAGTAACCGATTGCTGCTGTATTGTTGCTGCTGTTGTTTTGATGACCTTCCGCAAGCTAGAGAATGCCATCCCGCTTGAAAACCGCTACACCTGTAACTGCTTCCAAATTAGAATATTGTTTCGCCTGAAACTACCTTCTCCGCTGTGATAATATTCCACGTCCAAGGGAATATCATCGAAATTATTTCTCTTGAAATAATTCTCATCCGCATTATGATCATCTTCTATGCCTCAGGAACTATGATCGAAGACAATTTCGCCCGAAATTACCTTCAGTTGTTTGTGACAACTTTCCGCAAGCTAGGGAATGATGTCGAAGACATCTTCTCTTGAAGTCACCCTCATTTGATGCGATAATTTCCCAAAGGAAAATACCGAAGATCCACGCCTGTCGATCTTTAAAAGTTCGCCTGAACTTGCCTTTTGCTATGCCTGTATGTCGGCGCTCTTTGCTCTTGAACCTGTGTGTCGGTGCCTTTTGCTAATGAACCTGTATGTCGGTGCTTTTTGCTAATGAGCCAATGCTTAGGCGCTTTAAGCTTAGTGAGACGATCTTTTTATCAGGTCGATCACTTTATGTAATCAAGTCGATTACCTAATCATGTCAAATTGCTTAGAGGGGCTAACTGGCGTACCAAAGAACCCAAAATATATTGCAGAAGGCTAGCACAACCCCAACAGGTGACTGGCTGCTTTGGCGTCGCTGAAAATCAATCAGCGCCATCCTTACGGCATTAGCGCCATGCGCTGAAATTGGCGTCTGGTGCCAAGCACAGAAAGTGACGCCAATGCCTAGGGACTGGTGCCAGCACGGGAATCACTTTAAATTCCCGTTTTCAGTTCATTTCGTGCTCTGGTTTGTCGCGAACGCTGCTCGAAAGAAGTCGAAACTTCAATTGATCGTTGCTAATTCGTTTCTCAACCGAATTCGCTCAAATTTGTTGCAAATCAAAGCTCTTCTCATCCATATTCCCGATCTATGTAAGTTTTCCTCCAACTCACACCGGTTTTTATGAATTCTTGACATGTTCATTCACGAATTTCATGAAAATTCGAAACTTATGATGCTCAATTTGCTTTTTTTTTTTTATCAAGTTTTATGTCATGAAATTGCTTGTTTATGTTTGTATATTTCCTTGGGAGTAATTTGAGACTCGTTTGACTCAATTTGGTGAAGAAATGAGCAATCCGCCGTTGTTAGACCTCCTAAGGTCGTGAAGAACAATGTGACCCATTCTTGATGTTTCTGCTAGCAATTCTTGTTCAATTTTTCACAATAATCACTATAGTGTTGCAAGAAATTGTTTGATTGCTTGAAAAAATGTTGTCATGCTCAATTTGAATTTGTGCGCTGTTTTAGTACTACGTACTCTGTTTTTGCGAATATAGTATCATGCGGCTAGGCAAACCTTTAGATACTATAGAACCTTGATTTATGATGATTTTGCACAATGTAGCATGGCTAGACAACGAGGCTCAGGTTCACGGTCCCGAAACACTAGACGGGAGCATGAGCCCGTGGAGGACGACACCACACCGTCCACTTCGCTTGGTCAGTTCCCAGAGTGGGATAAGCAGACCTTGTTCTTTGCCCCTGTCCACCACATTTCTGAGAGGGTGAGACGGGGAACCGAGCCTGGGAGGACACGACATCACGGCTCTGGCTGTGATGGTCTGGCAATTTATATAGGATGCATATCGCCAGAGATCGAGAGACAAGACTCCTATGGGAGTCGTGCGGACTGGTTGCCCTGTTCGAGACCTCCGAGGCTATGGTCGCCTCTAGCGGGGGTCACCACATAGTACGCGCTCTGGTGGAGTTCTTTTGGGACACCACCAACACCTTTCATTTTCCATGGGGTGAGATGATGGTCACTCCTACAGACTTCAGTCTCATCACAGGACTGGAGTTCTCTTCTGTGCCGCTGCCATTTGACGGCGGTATCGACGTCTTTTCTCCAGAGGTCGAGGAACTGTTGGGGCCGATTGCTGTTCGGGCCCGAGCTGAGGTCGAGACGACTCAGTTCAGTGCTAGGGGGATTCGC